CCCTTTTGGCAGTTACAGGGCATGGAGACTCTGCAGTGTGTGATTGGGTCTTTGATCCTGGTGCTCCTGGGCTGGAGAGAGCGAATGTTCATAGGCTCTCGGAGGAGCGGTGAACAGGTCCTTTGAGGATGCGCAAGCCGGGGGATAAGAAATTGGCAGATTTATCAGAAGGAACCAGAGGCTGCAGGCTCCCTAGGCCCACCGCATAGAAGGCAGAGGCATGAGAAAACAGTAGCACAGGCCCGGAGAAGCAGAAGCCGGCCTCTGCTGAGCAGAGTGGTTTGAGAGGAGTGGGCCAGGAACTGTCACGCCTGGGGCTGCAGCAGCACTGGATGCAGCCACCATCAGGCCCAGACCACAACATGCCCAGGCACAGAGTGGGGCCTGCCTGCCAAACGTGGGTACGCCCTGCACAGGGGTTGCCTTCAGAGTAGTTCCACTTGGGAAGATACCAGGACTGTCCCGAGGACCAGCTGGGACGTGGACAGAGCTAGTCAGGAAATATGCCACCCTAGTAATGTGATACTAAGCATCAATTCCTCACCATGAAGCTACTGTTGATACAGTGTTTGCCGTGTTTCCCGTCTCATTTCCAAGTGCTAACGCTGCGGGAGCATCTTGTGTGGCCTGACTCTGATTGGATGAACCTGAGCTTGCTAGTGTCCCTCAGTAATACACCTGTGTTGTGGAATTGACAGGGTGTGTGCTCTGCAGCAGTTTACTAGTAAAAATGTAACGATCCCGTTCTTTTACAGATTAGGGTTCTATTTTTTCCTTTTTAATGTTTAAATCCTTTGTTTGGGGCAGTTTAATTATAATGTTCCTTGCTGTAGTTTACTTCGTAATTCTTGGGCTTGAAATTTGTTGATGTTCTTGCATCTATGTATGGTACTGGCTTTTTGTGTATTCCTATAAATATTCTTGAGCTTTGTTCTGAGATGCAGTTGAATCACTTGGAAACAGGTTGATCCTTTTGAAGCCTGGGATGAGAGCAGCCTTTAGTCTTAAGGACTAATTTTGTTAAAACCCTTCTGAGTACTCTGTCCAATGCCCTGTAAATGACGAGGCTTTTTCCACTCTTGCTGGTTGAACAGTCTCATCTTTCTCCTGCAGAGCAGCTGCTGGGTTTGAAGGCCCGGCCTTGCAATCAGCCATACAATGCTTCACCCACAGCACCACCAGGGCTCCTCCTTTGCCGTGGGCCCTGTGAGCTTCAGGGGTTGTTCTCTCTGCTATTTCAGGTGGTCTTTTCCAGTCTAGGATTGCTTCTTTGTATGTAAGCCATGATCGATACTCAGCTGAAGACTTAGGGGATCTTCCAAGGATCCCTGCAGCCCTCTCTGTGGGTTTCCTTCTCACTGCTAATCTTTCGATCTCTCACTTACTTGGGCCCCTAAGCTCTGTCTTCTCCACCACCTGGCTTCCACCACCTGTGCTGTGCCCTGGAAACTCTCATCAGACAATAAGCTAGACAACCATAGGACTCACCCCATTTCTTTTCCCTCCCTCGGGGATCCCCGTTGTGTGCTGCCTGGTGTCCACTGTCGGAAAACCATAGTTTTCTATATATGGTTCCATTTTTTAGTTCTTTTAGGAAAGAAACTGAATCCAGTCCCCATCATTCCATGTTCACTGGAAATGGGAATACCAACGTTGGTTTAAAAACACTTAATGAAACTTTTTAGAATGTAGGTAGATAAGGAGTTGTTAGGTGCTGTGGAGTCGGTTCCAACTTTTCGTGAACCTATAACTTAACACAATACACAACAGAACAAAACACAGCTGTCTCCTGAGCCATCCTAACAAATGTTTGAGCCCATTACTGCGGCCACTGAGTCATTCCATCTCTTTGGGAGTCTTCCTCTTTTTCGCCAACCCTCCACTTTACCAAACATGATGCCCACCTCTAGGGACTGGTCCTTCCCGACAACATGTTCAAAGTATGAGGGACCAAGTGTGACCATCCTCCTTTGCAAGGAGCTTTCTGACTGTACTTCATCCATTATAGATTTCTTTGTTCATCTGGCAGACTATGGTGCTTTCAGTATTCTTCTCCAGCGCCATCATTCAGTTTATCATTCTTTGACAGCTTTTCCTTACTCATTATCCAACTTTCACACGCATGTGAGGCAGCTGCAAATACCATGGTTTGGGTCAGGCTTACCTTAGTCCTGAAATGGACACGGGTCTCTTGCAGCAGATTTCCGTAATGCAGTACGTCATTTGATTTCCTGACTGCTGCTTCCTAAGTGTTGTGAATCCAACAAAATGAAATCTTTGAAAACTTAGATCTTTTCTCCATTTATGTGGATATTGTTTATTGGTCCAGTAGTGAGGATTTTTGTTTTCTTTACATTGAGGTGCAGCCCATACCATAGGCTATGGTTTATGATCTATAATCTTCATCAGTAAGTGTTTTAAGTTCTCTTCACTTTCAGCAAGCGAGGTCGTATTATCTACATATCGCAGATTGTTAATGAATCTTCCTCCCAATCCTGATGCCACGTTCTTCATATAATCCAGCTTCTCTGATTTTGCTCAGCTTGCAGATTAAATAAATAAGGTGAAAGGATACAACCCTGGCGCACACCTTTCCTGATTTTAAACCATTCAGGAGCCCTTGTTCTGTTCAGACAATTGCCTCTTGGTCTTTGCACAGGTTCCTCATGAACACAATTAAGTGTTCTTTGCAGTGTTATCTATAGTTTGTTATAATCCACATAGATGCGTTTGGATACTCAATAAAACTCAAGTAAACATCTTTCTGGTATTCTCTGCTTTCAGCCAAGATCCATTTGACATCAACAATGATATTCTTCATTTTCGTCCTCTTCTGGATCTGGCTTGAATATTTGAAGTTCCCTGTCAGTATACCACTGTGATAATTATTAAATTCTCTTCAGCAAAATTTTATTTGTGTGTGGTATTGATTATATTGGTCATTGATTTCCTTGTTCTGTTGGGTTGCGTTTCTTTGGAATGGGTACAAGTACGGTTCTCCTCAAATTGCTTGGTCAGGTAGCTGTCTTCCAAATTTCTTGGCATAGATGAGTGAGCACCTCCAGCGTTGGAAGATTCCAATGTGTAATCCAGTGCCTTGGACTTTTCGCCATTGCAGCTTGGACTTCTTCAGTTCTTGTTCATATGTTACCTCTTGAAATGGTTGAATATTGACCAGTTCTTTTTGGTATAATGTCGCTATGTGTTCCTTCCATTTTCTTTTGATGCTGTTTGCATTATTTAATATTTTTCCCATTGTTGTTGTTGGTGTTGTTAAGTGCTGTAGAGTTGGTTCCCACACAAAGTAACCCAGTATAGAGTTTCCAAGGAGTGGCTGGTGATCTTGAACACTGACCTTGCAGTTGAAACCGGTTTCGTAGTCTAGCACATTAATCCACAGCACCAGACATAGACTCCTTTAATATTCCAAGTTGAGGCTTGATTTTTTTTCTTCAGTTCTTTCAGCTTGAGAAATGTTCTTCCTTTGGTTTTCTAACTCCAGGTCTTTGCACTTTTCATTATAATACTTGACTTTGTCTTCTTGAGCTGCAACTCCTTTACTTCCTCATTTCTTCCAGTTGCTTTAGCATTAGACACTAATGAAGAGAAGAGTTGTGGGATGACATCAAAAACATCATTCACGAAGAAAGCAGAGGGTCACTAAAAATGCAGGAAAGAAAGAAAAGACCAAGATGGTTGTCAGAAGAGACTCTGAAGCTTGCGCATGAGTGTAGGGAAGCTAAGGCGACTAGAAACTAAAGCTTGGTGGTGGTAGGTTGTGTGCTGTCGAGTCGACCCAGACTCATAGTGACGCCGTATAGGTTTCCGACGCTGTCAATCTTTACGAGCAGAAAGTCTCATTTTTCTCTCAGGGATCAGCTGGTAGCTTTCAAATCACTGACCTTGTGGCTAGGAGCCCAACACACAGGGCTCCTTTAAGTAGAGTATTATTTTATTACATATGTGTATATAAAATGTATCCATAGTGTGGTCTTGAAGATTTAAAACAATGTCATGCTGCATGTCATTCTTCCAATTGCCTTCATTCAGCTTTTTAAAAAGTATCCGTATCATCAATAAAAAGCTAAAAATCAAACCCAATGCTGTTGAGTGATTCTGACTCATAGTGATCTACAGAACCCAGTAGACCGACTACCTCAAGGATTGTTGTTGTTAAGTGCTGTTGAGTCAATCCCAACCCACAGCGACCCTGTATAGGGTTTCCGAGGAGCAGCCAACCTTGCAGTTCAAACGGCTTTGCAGTCTGGCGCATTCACCCACAGCGCCCCACCAGGACTCCACCTCACAGGATTACTGAGGCCTTAACTCTTCACAGGAGCAGGCTGCCACATCTTTCTCCCACTGAACCAGCGATGGGTTCTGACTGCTGACCTTTCGGTCACCAGTATAGAGCAGTAGGAGGCAGCTGAGGGCTTGCCCACTGTGCCATCAGGTCTCCGTATACTATGGATTCATGGATTTAGAATACATGTAGTTGAGTTAACATGTACATTTCACAAGGACAGGAATCTTACTGTTTTGTTCACTGGTGTATACCCCAAGTACCCAAATTGTGCCTGGTACATAATAGGTGCTCGGTAAATATTCGATGAATGAATGATTTTATTTTAATGCTGTATAATATGTGATTATGTGAACATACTATAGTTATTCATTCTCTGTTAATTAATGTTTAATTTGTACCCTTTTTTTTTTTGCCAATATGAGCAGTAGTGAGCATTCTTGTAGCACACATGACCAAAGATTTCCTTAGGAAGTCCTGTGATCTAGGGTAGGCTTCATTGTATTATGTTGCTGACTTACTCTCCATCTTAATGGAACCAAGTTAAACTCCCACTCGCAGTATGTGAGAGTTCCCGTTTCTCCACAGCCTCATTTGATCTTTTTACTGTAACGCTGCACACATTTGTTAGATTATGTTTTGTGATTTTTTTTTCCCTTTTAAATGTATAGCACATTCCTTTTTTTTCTCTCAATAGAAATTCTATGTCTTCTTTTCGCCCTGGTCGAGGGCATGATAGTCGGAAGAGTAGGTTTTATACCAATGATGAATGGGAACTTTTAGACCCGAGCCCTAAGGACCTGGAAGAGCCAGTGGTGGTACAGGAAGAAAGGAAAAGGCTGGCCCCGGAGGGAAGCAAAGGTATGAACACAGTTCTTATTCTCTGCCATTCTGTCCCCTGCCCTTTGTTACCTACCAGTGACATGGCAGTGGGTGGGGGCGGGAGGGTGGGGGGGCGTGAGGGGAGGTGCACTCTAGGAGCAGGTATTTTATACAAGCGTAAGGCCTAGCAGGGGTTTGCGTTCACGTTTTCCCTTTCATTGTCATATTTGCTAAAGAAACTTGTAGTCATTCTAGATTTTACTCATTGTCTTTTTGTGGTGTACATTGTATTTCAGTTAACATGCTCCTCAGTCCCTGCACACATGTAGTTCAGTCTTGAGGCCTGCCCAGTTTCAGGGATGACTTTTGATTATGGTGAGACTATGACTTTGTTTTGTTTTGTTTTTTTGGAGTCCTGGTGTGGCGCTGTGGGTTAATGCGCTGGACAGCAAAGTCGATTTGAATTGCAAGGTTGGCGGTTCAAGCTCACCAGTTGCTCCTGAGAAACCCTATACAGGGTCGCTATAGGTCGGAACCAACTCGACGGTACTTAACGAGAACAATATGACTTTTTGGAGGGTTCTGTGTACTTCCTATTGTCTCATACCTGCCTGGTTGTCTCAGTCTGTTTGTAGTTTTTAGATTGATAGGATTGCCCACCAGCCTTTTGCCGAATGCTTTTAGTAGCTGTTGGTTAGCTTAGATTCGTTATTAATTCATTCAAGGAACGTGGAGATATAAACATAAAATAACTAATTCTCAGCATTATGCTTGATTCTGCCTTTGGCGGGCAGGAATAGGGGCAGTCGTTACTGTGAGAAGAGAGGGCTTACTAGAGGAATTTTCTTTCCTGTCACTTGCTAAAGGACTATATGACTTGATTGGAGGGGAGAAGGTCTGTCCCACAGAAGCGTGGTGCAGAACCCCCTGGTCCATCATGGCATGGTGTAAAGTGGGAATATGGCCCAGCCAGTGGGAGCACCCAGAGGAGGGCCCCATCGTAAACTGGGGATGCTTCTGCAGGGAGAGGGGTTTGGGTCACAGAAGCTCCAGTGTTTACTTTGACTTGCAGGAGAGTCTGGCAGTAAATGGAAGGGCTGGCTCTCTGGGGCAGTGGTTGTGCAGGAGGATTGGGTTAGCGCTTTGTGACCCAGGAGGAGATGAGGGGCGCCCAGCTCAGATCCCCACTGAGGAGGAGCCTGTGTGAAAGACTTTGATCTTGCTTGATTAAATAACAGGAAGTAAACTGCCCTTCCTTAGACTTTTTTCCTGTTTTTATGTAAACATTTTATTGAAGCATGGCATCTCAACGAGTGCCCAAATCAGAAAGGGCCCAACTGCCATGGAGTCGATTGGCCCCCACAGGACAGAGCAGAGCTGTGCCATCTGTATGGAAGCAGGCGGCCTCACGGCTTGCTCTTGGAGCATCTGGTGGGTTTGAACTGCCAACCTTGCAGTTAACAGCCACATGCCTAACCCCCTGTGCCACTAGCACTAGCAGAAAAGTGCAGTTTCATTAATTTTCATAAAATGTACTCAGAATTCAAGAAACGAGACAGTACAGGTACACCTCAGAGATATTGCAGGCCCCACCCCGACATGTCCCCTTCCCCACCTGAGGTAAGCACCCTCCTGGCTTCCTAAGAACACTGATTAGCCGATGCCCGTTTACAGACTTTATGCAGATGGAATCTTTGTGTCCCTTTATTGCATTTTGAGTATAGGGGGCTTCAAAAAGCTCATGAAAAATGGAATTTTACCAGGAACTTTTTGATCCTCTTATATATTTAAACCCATCTACACATGTGGAGCTGTAGGATAAGCACTAGACTGCTAATTCCAAGATTGGTGGTTCAGACCAGCTGCTCCTTGGAAACTCTTTCCAGGTCACTGTGATTCGTAACCCACTCGATGGCACTTAAGAACAACACATTAGAATTTACTTGGATTCCACAATTTAAAATACCCCCCCCTTTTTTTTTTTTTTTTAAGAAGAGGTTATAGGCATTCTTTAAAACATGCTTACAATGAAAAAAACCCTACATTTGTGCTTGTTTTTTTTTGTTTGTTTGTTTTTGTTTTGTACTAAAAACGAGCTCGCAAAAGTAGGAAGCCATCGTTCCCTGCGTGTCTTCTCTACATTTGGGCACTTGGATCGTATCTTTGAACTTCTTAGGGGGTGACCTGGAGAGGGGGCCTCTTCGCCTCAGCTCCGTGGACTCTTGGAGCAACATTGCCTCCCTCTTAGGTCCAGAAAGTGCCTGAACTGGGCATATGATGTTGTGAACTCGTAGGTACAGCACTGAGCTCTTGAAAGGGGGTTTTGGAAAATGAACCTAGCATGAAGAAAGACTACTGAGGAGGTGTGTGATGTAATTTAGTCTGTTGTTCCTTAGTGGCGGCTTATAGCCTGACTTTTCTGGTCTATCTAAACGCAAACATTGAGTAATCCCATAGACAAAGTTTTCTTTTGAAGTGATCACATGATAAGTGACTATGGAAGGATGGGGGTGGGGGGTTGAGGGGGAGGGGAACCTCTTTGATTGTGGGTGTGTTGCTTATTAGCTCTGAGGCAGGGCAAAGACTCACAGAGCCCCTTGGGGGCTGACGTGTGGGGTGCTGATGTGCTCTATTGCTGGTGCCCAAAGGAAGATTGGGCCTGAACTCATAAACCAAGTTTTGTTTTTATGTAGGAGTAACTGGCTCAGGATTCCCCTTTGATTTTGGACGCATTCCCTACAAAGGAAAGCGCCCTCTGAGAGACATGATTGGGTCCTACAAACATCGGCACAGTAGCGGAGACCCTTCAGCGGAGGGGCCTGTAGCTGGTGGTGGCAGCGGCGGCAGCAAGCCTGCCTCCGAAATGCAATTGCAGGTTCAGAACCAGCAGGAAGAGCTGGAACGGTTAAAGAAAGACCTATCCAGCCAGAAGGTAAGTTTTCTTGTTTTACTCCAACTTATGAGGCCAAGAAGGAAAGCCTAGCTTCTGTTTTTTCAGAATTCGGGTTGAGGGGAGCAGTTTTGTTTCTCCAAAGGTGATTTTCCCTTAAAAGTTTCATGTTGCCCTGGCCGCCCTCCTAGACACTACTGTTCTGCTTGATCACTTGTTCACAGATGCTTGAATTTACAAGGAGGGAGAAGACCCACCAGCAGAGGTTAGGGGAGGGTGCTGTCTGCATTCACGCCTAGCCCTGCCTCTGAGATTGGTGCTGTGAACGTGGCTTCACCCAGACGTCTTTAAGAGTACTTCCCAGGCAGAACTTTCACACTGTGTTAAGCCACACAACTTCTTTCTGAGCTCATCAGACCTAATTACTCCAGGTTGCTCTGCAGTTCAGAGAGTTACAGAGCTCAGATTCTGCTGGGAACCGCTGCAAATTTCAGTGTACATGCTCGGGATTTCCTGGTTCCTGTTATAGTTCTCTACAGACAGTTTTTATGGAGTAAAATTTTTTTTTTCCTCCCTGTTTTTGAGATCCTTCAAGAGGAAGTTCAGTATTAAAATGCTTCCAGTCAAGTTTCTGCATTTCCTTCAACGCCAGGGATTGCTCTGTGTAAGGCGTTCAGGATTTTGGTTTTCTCACTTGCTCTCCCTTGCTGTCCCTGCCTTTGATCCCATGCTCCCTTCTGCTCCCAGGAGCTTGTGCGGCTGCTCCAGCAGACAGTCCGGTCTTCCCAGTATGACAAGTACTTCGCAAGCAGGCAGCTCTATGAGGGGGTTCCAAAGGACACACTGGAGCTTCTGCACCAAAAGGATGATCAGATTTTGGGCCTCAGCAGCCAGTTTGAGAAGTTCAACCTGGAGAAAGAGAGTCTTCAGCAGGAAGTGAGGACGCTCAAGGGCAAAGTGGGTGAGCTCAACGAGCAGCTGGGGATGCTGATGGAGACGATCCAGGCCAAGGATGAAGTCATCATCAAGCTCTCGAGGCAACTCAGCGAGTGCGAGGGGCCCGTGCCTGCCCCCACAGTTATGCCCGGCTCGCCCTCTGCTGCCCCAGCCAGCCGGGACCACCTGGAGCTGGACAGGCTGAAAGTAAGAGCCAGGGGTGGGCACTGCTTACTGGGACGAGAGTCGCAAGCACATGCGCTCCATGGGTGTCACTCCAGAAGTCCTGGCTTGGTGAGCTCATTTGCCTGCAGAGCAGCTGTGCCTTTTCCCACAGGTTTAACAGGACATGAGCCAGGTCACTCTGAGTCTTCTAAGGAGCTTCCTTGAAAAATGAAACTCTTAATCCAATGATGGTGCCATTGCTTGGAAACCCTTTTTCCTCCCTTGCTATCAGGCAGCACAGCCTTCTCTTCCTGTTTCTGCCACCAAAGAACTTCAACTCTGTTACACCCCGCCCACCCCCACTCCCCCAGCACCCCCACACACACCCCTCACACCCCCCAAACCCCCGTGGTACCTGTTCCTTTGTGCCTCTGAGAACCTGAATGCACTCGCAGACTTACTTTGCACAGCCTGCCTCAAGACCTAATGTGGGCCACCAGAGGGAACATTGTCCCTAAGGGCTAGTGTAGAAGACGTGGGGGCACTGCTCAGAGTCAGTGCCCCCACCCAAGCAGGAGAGCGCTGACACTTTCAGAAGGAAGTCAGTCGCGTTACGCTCCCAAGTGCCCCCTTCTGGACTGGCACCGCAGGTGGAGGCTGGTCTGTGAACAGGGGTGATGAGCAGTTCCTACGCAGGGCATTGTGGGGGCAAGGCAGTCTTCCCTTTCTGTCTGTGGAGAAGGCCAGCAATCCAGAGAGGGGTGTTGAAGGCCAGTGAGGCCAAAGAGAGGGACGTAACACCAGTTCTTGGAACTCTGTTGGGGAGGGTCCTCTGGGGCATGGGAATTGGGTCTAGCCAAGAGAAATATGTGACCCAGATTGGTCTCTGGTTACAGGACCCACCTGCCCCCAAACTCGTTTTCACCTGCCTACCTCTTGCAAATAATTTGACTCCAGAGATATTTACCCCATCTCAAAGGAGCTCTGGTAACATAGTGGTTACGAGTCGGGCTGCTAACCTCAGAGTCAGCAGTTCGAAACTACCAGCTGTTCTGCAGGAGAAAGATGAGGCATTCTGCTCCCGTAAAGATTTACAGCCTCAGAAACCCTGTACAGGGTCGCAATGAGTCAGAACCGACGCCACGGCACATTCCACAGCACATAACAACAACAATACAGTTTACCCTTGAGAGATAAAGACTTACCACTTTTGAGAGTATCTCTGGACAGTTTGCTTCATGCCTATAGGCACTTTTCATACACTGTCAGTGAATTGAATGAGGAGTTCTAACAATATTCCACAATGTGCATTCAGAACCACTGGAACAATGACTGACAACAGTGTCAAATATGTATCTGGTCCCCACAGTGACGGCTTCTAAGTAATGACAATATGGGAGATTGGAAAGATTTAATGAGAAAATCAGAAATGGCAATAAAGCTTATTGGTTGCTTCTGTGCCCATTGAGTTGGTTCTGACACATACCCTGTATAGAGTTCATCTTTTTCCCATAGAGCTGCTGGCCTTTTGGTTAGCAGCCCAACATCTAACCCCCTGTGCTACCAAGGCTACCAAGGCTCCTGGTAATTGATTTACATCTACTATAATACTGTTGTTAGGTGCCAAGTCAGCACCAACTCATAGCGATCCTACGCACAACAGAACAAAACGCTGCCCGATCCTAGGCCAACCTCACAAATGTTGCTATGTGTGAGACCATTGATGCTGCCACTGTACCAATCTATCTCACTGGGGGTCTTCCTCTTTTTCTCTAATCTTCCACTTGACCAAACTTAATATCCTTCTCCAACAACTGGTCCCTCCTGACAGTATGTCTGAAGTACGACAGTAAGACAGTTACGTCCGAACTATAAAAATAGCTGATGCTAAAAAAAAATGAGATCTGGGTTAGGGTTTCCAACAGTCGCTTTGTTCACACAGACAACCTAGCTTATTGTTGGTTGTTTATGTGCCGTGGAGTCGGTTCCAACTCATAGTGATCCTGTACAGGGTTTCTGAGGCTGTAAATCTTTACAGGAGCAGAAAGCTTTATCTTTCTCCCGCAGAACAGCTGGTAGTTTCAAACTGCTGACCTTAAGGTTCGCAGCCCGATTTGTAACCACTGTGCTTCCAGAGCTCCTTAACTTATCTTATACAGGATGCTAAATAAACAGCCCATCAACGATACACTTATTTTCAAAAACTTTATTGGGAATTGGGTAAATATTTAAAGAGCAAATGAGTTTCCCATTCAACAGTTAATACGCATTTTGTTTCATGCCATTGAATACAGTCCCCACAGTGTACCATCCCTTAGCCCACTTCTGTCCTATGTTTCCAAACATTTCCATGCCTCCATCTTTACACCCCCTTCCTGCCTTCTGAACTTGGTCCTCAGGCAAATACTGCCCTTTGGCTCTCACATGGTTGATTGTCCTAAGGTACTTCCCAGTGTGATTGTTCTCCTTATACAACTTTCTGTCGTTTGGTGCCTGGAAATCAATTCACAGGAGTATATTCAATTCCAGACATAGCCTCAGACTGGAGTTCCTTCAGCCTCTATCCAACCAGTAAACTTGATTTTTTGTTTGTTTATTTTTTAAATGATTTTGAGTGTTGTTCCGCATTTTTCTCCTACCCTCCCTATTCAGGACATTCTAATTTGATCCCTTTCTGAATGGTTAGCAGAAGTAGCTGGGCACCATCTAGTTCTTCTGGTCTCAAGACTGTGGAGGCTGGCTGAGCTTCACGTGGCTAAGATTCTTGGAACCAATCGTTTCCATGTTAATGATGCACATTTTGTAACTACTTATTTAGTGCCAGCTGAAATTCCTAGTTTGACAGCACGTGAGTGTGGCTTGGCAGTGGGACAGGCGTGTGGCATGGTTTCTCTGGGAGCAGAGCCAGGGTGTGTGGAGAGGGTGTGACAGCGAGCAGAGCTGGTCAGAATTAGATTTTCCCCTTTATTCTTTTTTGCAACATGATGGGTGCGGCAGTTTTGAATCAGTCATGACTTTCTTTTTCCTCCAACATTTCTCATGTTCAGTTTTTGGAGCCTACAGCTCCCAATTCTATAATAGTTGCCTATGAAGAGGAGACAGACGATTGCTCAAAGACTTCACTTTGAGCTTGTGAATTCCAGGTGGGGCAGGTGAATCCTGCCTGGGAAAATCTTGTGTTTTCTGACATTGTAATGCTGAAGACACTCAGCCTAACCTCTGCCTCTCCTGCAGTGGCATAGGAAGAATTGAAAAGGTTTCAGGAAAGCTGTGGGCAGAAATGAGCATTTTGATGTGTGTTTTCTTTTGACCCACGTTCTAAAATGTCTGTGGGAATGGATATATGTTTATTTTTGCCTCTCTTCTCGTCTTGCTGTTCTTACTACCCAGGTTTCTTGCTTTGTAGTCAGTGAATGTGGCCTGTAAAGATTTCTGCCTTTTGGAATTTGCTAACATTTCCTTTGCAATTTAAAGACAAGGTCAGTTTTTTTTCTGTAGTTGTTTTTGTTTTAAAGCAAAACAGATATTAGTCATCAGATTTTACCACCCTAGCAATTTCAGTGGGAGTACTTTTTCTGATTCTTTGCAGGCCTTTTCTGTGTATACAGAGTTCTTCTATTTTTGAGACAGATAAATCTCTGACTGCGTCATTATCTACTCAGCCTTTGTGTCCTTACCTGAATTTTACTATTTCATGCGTAGGTTCACGCATACAGCTTTTCTTTCCATCACCCATTCATTCAGCAAGTGTCCAGTCACGAGCACCATGCGCCAGTCCCCATGCTCTGCATGAGGGACCCAGCAGAGAGCAAAGAAGACCCAGCTTCTCAGAGCTCTCAGTGTAGCAGTGGAAGCACCCTGTGAAAAGCCGAGTTGCAGCTACTGGAAGTAGTAGGAAGAAAGGGAGCGCAGAGCAGCACAGGGTGCTGGTGAGGCCGACTGTGCCACTGCCGACGAGCTCTGACCGGGGGCACGTTCTTTCACGTCTCTGCCTCTCTTCACAGGTGGTGCTGGTGAGGACTGGAGGAGGTGAGCCAGGTGAAGGAAGCCCTCACATGGCACCTGACACCTCATGTTTAGCTCAGGCTTTATTTATTCATTAAACTTTTCATTTTGAGTTGGGTGACGGGTTACAGAGCAAATCAGTCTTCTGATCCACAATTCATACACATTTTGTTTCATTTCCCTGATTGTAAACCCCATTTCCTCCCTGTGTTTCCTGTTTCCATTTTTCCTCCTTTCCTAACCCTTCTGCACTTTGTCCGTGGGCGAATGCTGCCATTTTGCCCTTAACTAAGTTTAAGGTGTGCAGACCTCACTAGTGCCCCTAGGGTTCTTGTTCCCGTCCCAGACCTCATACCTCAGACTCTTAGCGGTCAGGTGTCATTGCTGCCATCACCAATATTGTCAGCCTGGGGAAAGTGCCCTTAAGAGAAATGATCAGAATTTACTTAGACTGTAACAGAAGTGGTAAGTTACAACATGGATTGTCAGGGACCTGCCTCGACAGGGAAGTTTGGTTCACGAAGTAGGGAGATCTGGTGGCGAAAGAAATAGAGAAAGAATATACACAAAGATGCAAGGAGAGAAATGAAGAGACACCCCGAGACCAGAGTGGATGCAAGACTGGCAGGCAGACCCTGGATTGCAGGCATCATGGCCCTGCAGAGGCAGTAATGCATGCAGGATTCAATCTGTGTCCGTCTTTTATTTCAGGGAGGGATTTTACACAAAGGAAGAAGGGGATTATTAAGACAGGGTACAGAAATAAAATGTGATTAATCGTTCAAAACAGGACACAATGATTTACAGGAACAAATTCTAAAATATACATCGCAAATTGTCTTAATAATCTAACATCCTTAATTTTCCAAAAATTCAAGCAAATTGTTATGAATTACCTTTTAGGTGCAAATCCTAAGGCAGCGACTGGAAGTTTCTCAAGGCTAATTAACATACCTATAGCACTTAATCTCGAATGGGTAAAGGTGAAAAGGATTTAAAAGGTCTGAAGAGAGTCAAGCTGTTTCAGCTACCTGGCTTAGGCTTTCAGGAGGAAGAAGGAAGTGTGGGTTAATGGTTTACACCTGGTGACAATTTGAGGAGGTTGTTATTATTATTCCTTGAACAATACTCTGGAATTCGCCAATCTACTTTTGAGTGAATTCCCTGGGCGGATTGTCTCCAGAGCCTCTTTGCAGAATCCCAGCAAGTCTGCCTTTGGAACTTTTACGGCCTCAGCTTTAGGTTTTGTTTTAATATTTGTCCATGGGTATCCAGGGCTCATGTATTAAGTTAATATCAAACATAACTGAATAATTTGATAAAGAACAGTTTGGACATGCTTGCCAGGTGGCCAGAGTTTGTTCCTCAGAGAGATTTGTTCCCAGGACCCTATGTACTGCCAACACAGTGGAGACACTAAGAGAGGCACATAAACCATTTTCTCAGAAGCTACAATTACTGGAGTTAGATGCATAGAATGAATAATAAGACCAAAGAAAATTACTCAGAGGTAGCCCACCAGTGAGTTCGTAAAAACCAATGAACCCGGGACATCAGGAGGTCACTTCCTTTGGCCCTCAGGGTCCCTGGCTAGCCATCCTGAGTGGGGCCATCGTGTAGGATTTTCATCCATGACAGTGGGCCTCAACATCTCAGTGCTTGCGGTCCCCAACAATGGATCAGAACATGACTGTTTTGCTGCCCAGTCTTTGTCCATCGTTTCTCCAGTGTCGTCATTAGTTACCCTCTAGGTCACCTGCCTCTTGTCAGCCTACCATTTAGTAATGCATTTGTTCATTTCCCAATATGAGAGCTTTATGGTGCCAGGAGAGAGGATTCCCGGATTTAAGTCATAAAGGAAGAGCAGTAGTTTGACGCTAGACATCTTGAAGACTGGTAATGCCAGGGCCTTGCTGAAGCTGATTGCTGTAAGGAATCAGAACTCAGGTGGGAGCAGGGGCTAAATAGACAGGGCCACACACCCCAGGCCTGGCTCTCAGAGACTGGTAATGCCAGGGCCTTGCTGAAGCTGATTGCTGTAAGGAATCAGAACTCAGGTGGGAGCAGGGGCTAAATAGACAGGGCCAAACCCCCCAGGCCTGGCTCTCAGAGAGTGGGTTCCCAGCCTACAGACTTCGTGATTGTGTGATTGGGCAGCCTCTCAGTTTCTTCTAGGAATGAGAGAGAACAACCATGGCTTCGTGTGAGATCTGAGATCACAACGTAAGTGTCTAGCTACAGGACCACTGTAGTCCGTAGCATGTGTTCCATAATCATAAGTCATGTTGTTGTTAAGTGCCGTCCAGTCGATTCCAACCTATAGTGACCCTGTATAGGGTTTCCGAGGGTGAGTGTGAACCACTGACCTTGCAGTTCAGACGGCTTTGCAGTCTGGTGCATTACCCCACAGCGCCACACCAGGACTTGTAGGGACCATCTGAACAATATGGAGTGAATTGTGTGCTCTGTCGTGTTTTCTAGCTCGGCAGTGGGGCAGGGGTGGGGGACTGCCACTGACTTCCTATTGTACCTTTCCTGAGCATCCCTGGCCCTGACGGCTGTCGTAAAGCAGACATTAGTTTCTGTGATGAGGAGTCCGAACCTCCTCAGGAGCCCTGGACACTGGCCTGTCAGGTTAGGAAGGAGAAACAGGAAGAGGGAATGCCACTCTGAGTAGAGAGTGAAGCTAAGTAGCACTTAGCCATCACTGCCCTGGTTGATCCAGGTCTGGTTCTCAATAGCACCTGATGATGATGATTGTTGTTAGGTGCCATCGAGTCAGTACCAACTCATAGTGACCTTATGCACAGCAGAACGAAACACTGCCTGATCCTGGGCCAACCTCACTACTGTTGCCATGCTTTAGTCCATTGATGCTGCCACTTGGCCAGTCCATCTCGTTGGGGGTCTTCCTCTTTTTCTCTGACCCTCCACTTTACCAAACATGACATCCTTGTCCAGTGACTGATCCCTCCTGACAATACGTCCGAAGTATGAGAGACAAAGTAGGAGAGATGATGATGATTAGCTTAGTCTTCTTTCACTTTTTTTTACTCCATGTTCCACAACAGGCTGAAATGAACCTCTGGCATCTGCCTTTGCCAGACTTGAGCCTGGTCTCAGCAGAGTTGGCGACCAGAGCTTGTTACAGTCTGTCTTAGTTATGTAGTGTTGCTATAATGAATATGAAGGGGCTTCAAAAGCTTAGCTTTTCATTGTTTTTTTCGCAAATCTTTTGAACCACAAGTGCATGACTCTAGCAAACAGTAATGTATTCCCTCTCAGTTAAGCAGGCTAGTAGGAGGTCCAAATTCAGAGTCCCAGCAGCAGGGAGGAGTTTCTCTCTCTGTTGACTCACAGTTCAGGAGGAATGTCCTTGTCTCCTTTCAGCATCTGCAGGCCTGTCATTCCATGGAGATCTCCAGGTGTCTTGGCCTCAATCTAACCCTGAGTCTAGGAGGCTCCCAGCACAGGGACCTGGGTCCCAAGGATGCACTCTACTCTTGGCAATTCTTTCTTGCTGGTAGTACAACTTCATCCTCACACATTGGCTTATCACACATTGGCTTTATCACATCAGACAACTACCAGATCACTGAGAATCACGGCCCAGTCAAGCTGACACATATAGGGAGGGGTGGGGGCGGATGTCACAATCCACTCTATGACGTGTTCATAACACGGCAAAGTTGGTAAATTTAGATGAAGAGTATATTGTTGTCATTGTACTTTTCTTTCTCCTCTTCAATAGGTTTGTAACCTTTTAATGTTAAAAAGTTGGAGAAAATATTCTCTTGAATACTTTATACAGCAGAGATATTATCAAGTAGAATTCTTTAGTTGAGGGCTTGTGTTTTTCATGTGTAGTTTTTCTGTATAAACTGGATAAGTAAAAAGGAGAAACTATAGAAAACGTGTTCAGTTTTTTTTTTTTAGTTATAAAATAAAGAGTATAGGATAATGCTCTATCATACCTCCTCTATGAATGTGAATAGATGAAAATAAGGAGGCATTTCTCCTGTCAGCAGGAGTAAAGTGGCCACCATTAAATAAATAACATTTCACAGTCTCCTTCCTTACAGCACTCGTGCCTGCCTGTCTTATGTTGCCAGGGGTGGCTGCCAATTGGGAAGTGCCCAGTAAGCGCTTTCAGTTCCTTACAACTCCCTGCAATGTAGCAGCACTCTCTGCTTGATGAGGCAGCCAAATGTTGGATGCATGTAAGTCAACTTTCAAACAATTTGAATTGGTTGATTTTTTTCCTCTCAACAGGATAATCTGCAGGGATACAAAACCCAAAATAAATTTCTAAATAAGGAGATTTTGGAACTCTCAGCTCTACGAAGAAATGCAGAAAGGCGAGAGAGGGACTTGATGGCAAAGGTGGGTCAGGATGGGCGTGTCTGTCCTCAGGTGGGAAGGAGGTCTGTTTGGGAAACAGCTCTAATGCAGGTGTGTTTGAGAACCTGTATGAAAATCCCAGGTTTGAAGGGACATGGTTTCAAAATAGAGTTCAAATACCTCGTGTGCCATGCAGGGCTCTATACTTAGTTTCATGTTGTCTGTGGTGAAGACAGAAATGCCCTGAGGTGTGACTTCCATTTACACATATGCATTTTCAGTGGCATTTAAAGAAAGTCAGAAAGCAAGAACACTTCTAAGGTCCCCCAAATTGAAGGTATTTGGGTGTTGATATGTGTTACTGAGTATGAGTTTTTACCTGTGAAGTGGGCCTGATGAGCATAACGCAGCCCCTGCAAGCCTGATAGAATTGACCTCAGAGTTCCAGTGGTGGACAGAAAGTGGGAGGTACCATAAACATTACAGTTTGTTAGATACATGCCTATGTATAAATGCACATGTGTGTATAAATATGTATACTGTACACATGTATATGTGTAAGGAGTCCTGGCATGTCGCTGTGCGTTACTGCGCTAGGCTGCAAAGTCAGTTTGAACCACAAGGTCAGCAGTTCAAGCTCACCAGCCGCTCCTCGGAAACCCTATACAGGGTCGCTATGAGTCAAAACCTATTCGATGGCACTTAACAACAACAATGCATATATATGTGTATGTTGTTGTTGTGAAGTGCCTTCAAATCAGTTCCGACCCATAGTGACCCTGTATAGGGTTTCTGAGGAGCAGCTGGTAAGTTTGAACCACTGACCTTGTGGTTCTCAGTCCAGTGCTGATCCTACAGCACCGCCACCTCAGAGTCCATATATATACATATGTATGCTTATTTTGTTTTTTGTGTGTATATATATATATATGTTGTTGTTGTGAAGTGCCGTCGAGTAGGTTCCGACCCATAGCGACCCTGTACAGGGTTTCCGAGGGTGTAAATCTTTACAGGAGTAGAAAGCCTCATCTTTCTCCCGCGGAGCGGCTGGTAGTTTCGAACCGCTGACCTTAAGGTTCGCAGCCCGATTCGTAACCACTATGCTACCAGAGCTCCATATATATATATATATATATAAAACATAGATGCGATACACCTTTTTGGAACAAGCCTGACAGCATCTTCCAAAACCTTGTTCCTGCATGTTTTCTAAGGGGATAAAGTGGCAGATGAACGCTTGGCCTGGTCTTAGCATCCTGGGGAAGAGTTGGTGTCGCAATGGGGTGGCCACTGATGACCCATGTCCCAAGTGGCACCCAGCCTGAGCTGAGGAATTAGTTGGCATGCAGCCTGGTTCCTGCGGCTCATCCTCTGGCCAGGGCTACTCTGTATGCTGCCCTCTAGAGGCGTGATTACCACCACCCTTCTGTGCTCAGCCCATAGGAGGAAGCCGGTTCCATGGCCAGCCATCCTGAATGTAATTGGGGCCCGTGACATAAATAAATCTCTTGCCTTTTATATGATCTGTCTCTCACTTCCTAGTAGTTTTGGGCTTGTCACTCACTGATTGCTTGAGGTCCCTAAAAATGGTTTTTTCTGTGTTCTGTCTGAATGGCAGTAACCAATCACATTCTCTACAGTATTCTAGCCTAGAAGCCAAGCTCTGCCAAATAGAAAGTAAATACTTGATATTGCTCCAAGAAATGAAGACGCCAGTGTGCTCAGAAGAACAGGGGCCTGCTCGGGATGTTATTGCCCAGTTGTTGGAGGACGCTCTGCAGGTTGAGAGCCCGGAGCAGCCAGAGCACGCCTTCATTAAACCTCATCTTGTCAGGTAAAGGTGCTCGTACTGCTGTGTGTAGTCAGACCATGCAGCAACTCATCCCGTTGCCAAAATTCCCCTTTTCCACAGAAGTAGTAGGAACTCTGGTAGTATAGTGGTTCCGAATCAGGCTGCTAATCTCACGGTCAGCAGTTCAAAACTATCAGCTGTTCTGCGGGAGAAAGATGAGGCTTTCTGCTCCCATAAAGATTTACAGCCTCGGAAACCCTGTGCAGGGTCACTATGAGTCAGAACCGACTCCACGGCACATAACAACAACAACAGTAATAGTTACTCACAGAGCTCTTAACACACTCTGTGTGTCTTTATCTAAAGCTCACAGTCCCCCGTTCTGTCAGCAGAACAGATACCATCCTCTTCCTCCCAGTAATAAACACAGAGCTCTTGATTCCACACCCTTTTCCCAGGATCAGGTGAGGTAACCTTACTTCTGGCCCTGCAGGGGGAGCCGGGCTTCTGTGGAGGAGAAATGCTCTCCTGGGACACATGGTGGTTTGAAAGCCAAAAGATCCCCTAAGAGGGAACTGGGCCTTCTTGGCAAGTGAAAACCACTTAGGTTACTTGATTGATTCACTGATCCAGAACCCACTGGGCTTCTAATAACAGCCATGAAGACAGTTGCCCCTGAAACGCACTTCAGAACACACACACAATACTGTATATATTCGGGGAGAAATTCTCAGAACCTGGAAACCCCTCAGGATTTGGGCTACCTGTTGCTGTTGAGTGGACTCTGACTCATAGCAGCCCTGTAGGGCAGAAGAGGACTGCCCCATGGGGTTTTGTAACCTTTACAGAAGCAGACAGCCCCATCTTGCTCCCATTGAGTGGCGGGTAGGTTCAAGCAGTCACCCTTTCCGTTGTAGCCAAGTGCTTAGCCACTGCACTGCAGGGCTCATGGGTCTTGGGTTAAGAACTCTGTTTCTGTATTCCGGGGGCAGAAATGGGCCTGCAGGTTTACTTGTGTCTGCAGGTTTACTTGTGTCTGCAGGTTTACTTGGCCTAGCCTCCTCCTCTGTTTGTTCCCCTTTACCACCCGGAGTCTCCCTGTGGCTGAGCTGTGCTTGCTGTATTCTCCTTGCTTCTCCTGCACACTTCTCCAGGGTCAGGCGAAGATCTGCTTCCATTTCACATGACCTTCCACCTCTCTGAGCGCCAACACCCGCCTGCCTTGGCTAGGCTGCTCAGGTGACAGTGCTAAACTCCACCCTCAGAACATGAGCAGCAGCATCTGACAAAGACTCTCTTCTCTCAGGTGTACTGTGTGCTGGGACTGGACCCCCCCAGGTGTCTTACATGTGGAGTCGCATTTAATGCTCAGTGAGGCACGTGCTTTTAGCCTCACAGAACGTGAGGAAGCTGGGGTGAGGGAAGTGATACCATGTGCCCAGAGATTAGAGTGTGGGTATCTTTGGGGGCTGCTATTCCCTTAGCCTTAATTCCTCTCAACCCTAATGTTTTACAGATATCCCACCCCCCTTTTAAAAATATTTTATGGTGGTTTTTTTATATTAAGATTTACCCAGTAGTTTAGGTTTCCATTCAGCAGTTTCTACACAGATTGTTTGCTGACTTTGGTTGCATTGCTTACAATACATGAGCATTTTCACTATTTCTACTTCCATTAATCTAGTGTCCCTGCCTGCTCACATTCTGATCTTTGTTTTGAATTAATTTTTTACTGTAAATAATAGATGATTTTTTAAAGGAGCACAGTTCTTAAAGTGACATACATTACTTTTTAGCCAATTGATTATTTCACTACAAGGTGAATTCCAGTTAGTTCGGACTCAAGGTTCAAAAATAGCTCAGGGCTGTAGTCTTGGGGAATCTTCTAGTCTTAAGCAGTCACTACAGTAGGTCTGCAGTCCTGGTGTGGTGCTGCAGGATAAAGGTCAGTTTGCACTGCAAAGTCGGCAGTTCAAACCCACCAACTGCTCCTTGGTGTAATTGGGGGTTGCTGTGAGGCAGAACAAACACTTAACAACAACGTAGTAGGTCTAGTTTTTAGGTAGTTGTTTTTGTTTTGTTTTTTTCTTTAGAAATATGAGATTCTCTTCCACATACTTTCCTCATTCTATTAGGGTCTGTCTGTTGTGGTCTGATTGGAATGGTCAGTAGTGGGCACCATCTGGTTCTTCTGGTCTCAGGATAGATGAAGGAAGTTGTGGTTCATGTAGACTATTTGTTCTGTAGACAGATTTCTTCTCTGAGTCTTTGTCTTCTTTCTTTTTCTTTTCCTCCAAACAAGTAGAGGCCAGCAGTTGTATCTTAGATGGTCGCTTATATGCTTTTAAGAGCCCAGACATGACTCACTAAACTAGACTGTAAAACATAGTCTTCTTATAAACTGTATTATGTCAGATGACTGAGCTGTGGCACCAGACTATGGTCCTAATCTGTCAACCCAGAAATTCCGTCCTGCACGGTGTTTGGTTACATCTAAGAAGTATTCGTAACTGTGCTCCCTTTGTGCTTTATCATATATATGAATATATGTGCATATAGTTAAATAGATGCATACACGTACTTATGCATCCATATATAAACACACCTATGTGACACTGTAGGATAAGCACTGGACTGCTAACCACAAGGTCGGCAGTTTAAAGTCACCAGTCGCTCCTCAGAAAACCTACACAGGGTGGCTGTAAGTCAGAACTGACTCAACAGCACTTCACAACAAAAACATGCACATATATATGGAGTCTTAGTGTGGTGTTGTAGGATAAGCACTGGACTGCTAATGCAAGATCCACAGTTCAAACCTACCAGCTGCTCCTTAGAAATCTTATACAGGGTCATTATGAGTTGTAATTGACTCAACTCTACAGCACTTAACTACAGCATACACATGGAACCTACATACATAAATATATACGCATACATACGTATGTTGTTTGTGTTTAAGGTTGTATCTCGTCTTTTTAAATCATGTTTTTGAAGCATAGGACATAAGCATATGTTTGTGTATGACATAAGCACATGCACACATTTATTTATGTAGCCAAATTTTATCGATCTCATTTTGGGTCTTGTTTTAATTTTCTTCTCTGTATTTCTGTTTTGGACTTCACTTCTTATAGAACCGATTTTTCCATATGATATCAAGAAGGGATCTTATTTTATTTGTTTCTTGTATGGCAAGCCAGTTGTCCCAGCCCTATGTATTGAGAAGTTCATTTCCCCCTGCTGATTTCAAATGCCCATCATGTGTGAAAATATCACATCTACATGGATTGATTTCTAAGTTCTCTGTTCTGTTTCAGTGGTCTTTTGGCCAAGATGGTGCCATTGTAACATGTCATTTTGTTTTCCTCACCAGTGAGTATGATATCTATGGCTTTCGGACTGTACCTGAGGATGATGAGGAAGAGAAACTGGTGGCCAAAGTCCGAGCGCTGGACCTGAAGACACTCTACCTCACAGAAAACCAGGACGTCTCCACCGGGGTCAAGTGGGAAAACTATTTTGCGAGCACAATGAACAGGGAGATGGTGTGCTCCCCAGAACTCAAAAACCTGGTCCGCGCAGGGATTCCACACGAGCACCGGTCCAAGGTGTGGAAGTGGTGTGTGGCCCTTCACACGAGGAAGTTCAAGGATAGCACTGAACCTGGGTACTTCCAAGCATTGCTGCAGAAGGCGCTGGAGAAACAGAACCCAGCCTCCAAGCAGATCGAGCTGGACCTGCTGCGGACACTGCCCAACAACAAGTACTACTCCTGCCCCACCTCGGAAGGCATACAGAAGTTACGCAATGTCCTGCTTGCCTTCTCCTGGCGGAACCCCGATATCGGCTACTGTCAGGGTCTGAACAGGTGGGTGCCCTACCCACAGAGCACTCCCTCTTATTGTTTAGGTGCCATCAAGAAGAGTTGTAGGTGCCTGGCACAGCCTGGAGCTCTCTCCTTTCCTGGTAGGTCAAGAAAGGCCAGTCATTGAAGGAAAAGAACTAGCGGAGGCAAACTGCCTTCAATTTTACAGTACCCTCAGTTCTACAGTAATGATGAAAACAAACGTGCTTTTAGAAGGCACTGGTGTTAAGTGCCATCGAGTCACTTCCAACTCATAGCAACCCTGTACAGGGTTTCCAAGGAGCGGCTGGTGGGTTTGCACCACTGACCTTGTGGCTAGTAGTCCAGTGCTGATCCTTAGAAAGCATTAAGAACACCAAATTCCTTTGAAACTTGGTTCCTCCTTTTTCCTTCCTTTCTGTTGTCATCACTTTGAGGTTTTGATGAGAAGTTGGATTTCTTGAGTTTATAATGAGTGGGGTGGAAACTGGTGGCCACGCCTTGTACTCCCAACACTTCTCCAGCTAGTGGAAACTTCACTCTGGAAGAGCCCTAGCTTGTTTCCTTTTGAGTACAGCCTTCCAAAGGTCTTGCATACTTACCCTGCAAGACAGAGGATGCTGAGAAGCTGCTCGCCTTTTCTCACCAGTGCAGGCTCCTCATCCCGAGCTGTGCTGGGACAGGACCAGCCTCGGCAGGTACTGAGGGCTGCTCTCTGGTGTGAAAACTGCTCGCTAAGGACCGAGCTTTTCACAGCCTGACTGAATCGCACTTGGCTGCCGGTCTACTGCTGCTGCTGCTGTGGTTGTGGCTGCCCTTTGCTACACCTTGCGTAGTGAAATTAGGTAACCACACTTGTTGGAAGTGTGGATAAAGTAAGAATGAAGAAGCCCTGTGGGCATGCTTCAAGAATTCCACAAGTGTAGGTGTGTGAGCTGGAGGTTTTGAATGCTGGCCTGTATCCTGGCTTCATTAAACCTTTAGATTCCTGAGGGTGCCAGATATTGAACTCCAGATAAAGGGAGGACGAGTTGTTGTAACTGAATATTACAGAAAGAAAGCCTTCTTGGTTAAGACCTGAAACCTTTCCAGGAACTCATGGCCTCTGGTGGTGGTGAAGAGAGGGCGGCCTCTCTCTGTGCTCCTCGGAAGCTAACGGTAACAGGGTCAGCTGTTTCTGGTCAGCTTCTCTTCAGAAAAGCCCTGTAAGTAGGAGATTGGCAGAGCAGCCTGGTTTTGCTTCATGCCACAATTCCCAGGGTATTCTCTGTCCCAGAGTTCCTGAAGCCTCAAACCTGAGCAAGGATCCTGGTGAGGTCCTAAGAAAACCTGTGTGCCTCCCTCCTGTGCAGTTAAGTGCTGTCGAGTCTGTTCCAACTCCCCTGTGTAGGGTTTCCAAGGAGCCGGCTCATGGGTTTGAACTGCTGACCTTGCAGTTAGTAGTTCAGTGCTTGTCTTACAGCATCACTCTCCGTTTATCTGGTATCATCATGGGATCAGTCGGTCCAGATGCAGTAAATTTTCCTGAGTTTTCACTCTGTACATTCACCCCCCACCAGCTTTGAAGGTTCTAAATATTAACCATTTAATTAGAAATTTTCCTTAAAATATTTTGAGCATGTCCACGCCTTCTGTGTACTCAGAAGGTGTGTGGAAGATGCGTTCACATTTTCGAGATTATTCGGGTCTGTCTTCTGGAACAGCAGTGAGTTAAAGGGATGTCTGAGAAGGCTCTGCCGCTTCTGAGGTCCACGGTGGCTGTGGTGGCTGAGCTCATTTCCTGTTTGTCTCTTTGTCCCTGCCGCTTGTCCCCTTTCTGTCTTCCATTCCTGTTATTCTACACTTATCCTAAGTCTCTCTCTTATTTCTGTCTCCCAATTTGAGATGGAGTCATCATCATTTTAGCGTAGTGGTTATGAATCGGGCTGCGAACCTTAAGGTCAGCGGTTCGAAACTACCAGCCGCTCCGCGGGAGAAAGATGAGGCTTTC